AGTAAGAGCTGGTAGGACCACCTTTGTTGTTTTGCTTTGTTTTTGGTGACTGGCCAGTAAGGGGATCTAAATCCTTGACCCAATAATTTGGGTGGAGAGCTGTGTGAGCCACCAGGGGAAGGGAGGGCTGTAGTGAGACACAGCGATGGGGTGGCATCCTGGGGTGTGACAACAGAAGAGTGCCACGGAACCCGGCAAGCATTGCCAAGCACTCACTGTCCTAAGCACTAAGTCCTCACCAGCCCTACCTCTTTTCACGCTCACAACAATCCTGAGGAAGGCATGATTGTTACAAATGGAGAAATGTGGCCACAAAAGAAGTGACCACCAGACCACTGAGCTCCATGGCTCAAAAGATAAACTGGTGCCCCAGAGCCTCAGGATAAGCCTGGGAAGGCAGAAGAGCAGGCCTCCCTGGCTGGCCCTGCTCAAAGGATTCCTCCCTCCCCCCAGCCCCCAGCCTGGACCATTTCCCTACTCTAGGATAAAGGGCCTGTCTTTGAGGCTGGCCCTGCATGCCTCAAACTCCCTGCCCCACCCTCCAGCTGCTGGCTGTCCTGGGCTGAGGATCTCTGACCAAATGGCTCAAGACCAGGCACTGTTTGGCCTCTAAGCCTTACAGAAGCAGTTCCTGGACCTGGAACATCTCTCATTCCCCCACAGCAAAACTTCCAGTTATTCAAGGCACAGCGAAGAGGTCACCACCTCTTTCTGCCCTGACCAGCACACTCCCCCCACCTTGGCTCTCTCTCCTGGCCCCCACAGCCCTCTGTACATCCCTCTGACACAGGCGTGTACTTCTGTCCTCCACTAGAAAGACCCCGTTTTCTGTAAGGCTAGACTCTTGGCTCACTGAAAGGGGAGCAGCTTGCCTGAATCTGCACGTGGCTGAGATGCAAGTGACTTCCTGAGGACATGGCCCAGTGGTTCTAACCTTAACTTTTACACACCGTCCACCCCACATCATTTTTGCCAGATCTTTGCTTAACCGTACTATTATTTACCTAATATTTTTCTTTATACCTGCCTGGAAGGGAAACTTTACATGGTACCTTAAAGAGAAAAACAAGAGTCACTAGTCATATATAGAGGAAGTTAATAGTAAAAGTACGTAACAATGAAAAAAATAAATCGAATTCTAGTTACATACTACTGCAACTGGAAGGATCTGAATCTTGGCCTTGTTTTCTACTTATTAAAAGGCAGGTTAGCATGTAACAGAAGAATATTAAAGACACCTTTGAATGAATCTAAGACTTTTTCTGTGATATAATCAAAGGGTCAAAAGAAACTGAGAAAGAAAAAGAGTTATTGCTAAAAGGTAAAATATTATACAGCAGTATGAGAAACAGCTCTAACCAAATGATGAGCAATTCACTGCTTGCTCATTTCTAAGCAGAAAAACATAAGAACGAATGAATGACCTACAGGCTATCTCTCTGTATCTGTTTATCTCTATATCTATACATAAATTCTTTACTCCTAATTTTAATGATTCATGATTTCTATTTTTTAAAATATATTAATCTCTGTGGCCACAAGTACAACTACAGTCTAAGTTCTATGAGGACAGGGATTTTGTCTTTCTTATTTACTGTTATATCCCTGACTGTTAACATAAATGTTCCACAAATATTTTTTGAATGACTATTACTGAATATTTAGTTTTTGTAAATGTTCCATAGATATACAAAAAAAAAAAAAAGTATACTCTCTGTTCAAGTCACGTTAGAATTAATTTCTAAAAATCAACTTTTTGGTTGCAGTATGCCTCTTTGTCTTTACCTGCTGTCTGGTAGGCCTATTCAATTCTGAAATATGGATTCTGAAGGGCCCTGCTACAATTACAATTCCCTTTTTTATCAATTTCTCCTTGGACTTCTAATGGATTTTATTTTATGTATTTGGTGTATTCAAGTTTGTAATTGTGCCTTTTATCATTACATGATGTCCCTCTTTACCTTGATTAGAATTTTTAACCTTAAATTCCACCTTGTCTGAATCTAATACTACTACTTGTGCTTTCTCTGTGTTGACAGTCACGTGACATCATTTTGCCCATCTTTTCATTCTTAACCTTTGCTCATCACTTTAAGTGTGTTTCTTATAAACAACACACTACTAGACTCTGCATTTCAACCCAATCTATTAGTCTCTGTATTTAAATAGGAGAACTTGACCATTTACATTTAGTGTAATGACTAGTAACTTAATTTTGTTCCCTCTGTTTCTGTTATTATTTATTAACATTGTTATTGTTTTCCTTATTGTTGATTTAATCAAATTCATTCCAGTTTTCCTTTGTGAATGGGGAAGCTCTACTACACTTTCATTCTATTAATTGTTTCTTTCCCTTTTTCTGTGTTCAAGATCTTACACACATTTCTATATTTTTACTTTAAAACAGGATACCAACTATTTCCCTCATCACCATATGCTCTAGTTCCTTTCCCAATCCCTCACCCTGAAAGATGAGCCCTTTCGAACACTTTCACTTACCTTCTGTTCCCCTCAGGTGAGACCTCTGGATGTCCCTGCCAATTCAAGCTCCCTCTCCCATGACCCAATTCCTAAGGACTGCTGAGAGAGTTGAGTACTTTTAGCTGTAGATGATGATTAGAATTTTCTTTGCAGGATGCTCACATTCTATTTCAAGAGCCCTATTTACCATTTAGATCAGAGGTGGGCAAACTATAGCCAGAGGGTCAAATTCTGCCTGCTACCTGTTTTTGAATGGCCTGTGAGCTAAGAAAGGTTTTTACATTTTCTAATGGGTTGAAAAACATCAAAAGAGGAAGACTATCTCATGACATGTGAAACTATATGAAATTCAACTTTCAGCACTCATAAAAAAACGTTTTTCTGGAGCACAGCCATACCCATTTTACGTATTGGCTAGGATAGTTTTTGTGCCACAGTAGCAGAGCTGAGCAGTTGAGACAGATACCATATAAGGTGCTCAGCAAACTGAAGTAACACAGTTATAACTTGATAGCATCTCTCCCAACCACAACTTTTTATTTATTTATTTTTATTACTAGTGCATACCCATCATGTCAAAATAAGAAAAGGAAAGTGGACTTCAAATGTCTCACTTTTAAGGCTCAGTGGGGTGTGGACTATTATTTTATCAAATTACATGGCAAAGCATTGTTTGTTATTAGTTGTGCTAATAGAATGCAACATACACTGGCATCACAATATTCCCAACTCACAGAAAAACAATGGTCAGAAAGATGAGAAAATTAAAAACAGTATATATCTCATCACAGCAGACACAAAAAAATTAAAAATGGTAATGAGGCTGCAACCAAAGTAAGTTTCCAAGTGGCTCATTTGTTAGCCAACAAGGAAAGCCATTAACCAATGCTAAGATAATTAAATCGTGTTTGACTGCAAAAGCTGAAAAAAGTATCCAGAGAAAATAAGCTTGTTTAAGATTATTAGATCTTGGGCAAGAACAGTTGCTCAGGTTTGGGCCACAGGCTACAGTTTGCTGTACACAATACTGATGAGTTGAGCCCCATCTGTTAGGGCACCTGCATGTCTGCAACGGGAGCAAGTGAAGCAGAGTGCAGGAGGTCTACAGAGAAGGATGTGGAGGCTTGAGAGTCAGCATCGCACATGTGCCAAGCACTGTCTTCGGCATTTTATACTTACATGTTACTACCTGAAAGTGAGAGTATCTAATGTACCATTCATTGTCAGCCTCCCTGTGAGGGCAAGAACTTCGTCTATCTTGTTGCAGCTCCAGTGCCTGGCACAAATATAGGAACCCAGTAAACATCTGAACATATGAATGAATGATGCCTTTTATAGGCAGAGGTTCAGAAGGCCTATATGCTGCAGGACCCCTCAGGTATGAAGCATTCACTCTTCCCGCCTGATAAGTAGAAGGTTTTAGACACATATCTATAGTGTTAGCGTTCAACAAATATCTACAGAGGCTGAGTCTTCCTTCATGTGAACTGAGGGCGTCTCAGAAGCCCACGCTGAACTTCCCAAAAGACTGACTGCTTGCAGAGCAGACCCACTAAGCTTGCTCAGCACCAGAGTGAGTGCTAGGAGCTGGCTCACCGTGACAGTGGGAATCTTGCACAGATCAGATTCAATCTTTTCAGGACATCCTGACCTCCCAGAAACTTCTCTGGACAGAGACATGCCCAGGAAGGAAGCTGGGTGATGGCTGTGATGAACCCAGGAATTTTTGGAGATAGCCAAGCATAGCCAGGGAAGGATAAGCATAGGGCATTTCTCTGGCCCCTGCCCTAGATGACAACACCCATGGGTAAGCCTGACTCTTAGCCTCACCTCCCCCCACCTTCCACCAGCTCTGGGTGATTCCTGATAGGAACCAGGGGGACTGGTCCCCATGCTTCAAAGAGGAATGATGGATTCCTGGGGAAAAGAGTGAACCCAAGCTTCAGGATTCATTGTTTTCACTCTAAGAGCTTAAAAATTAATAATAATGAAAACAAGCACATAGTAGGAGCCAAGCACTGACCTCAGACACTTATGTGCAGTCCCCTACCTCACCTTCATCTAACCCCATAGTGTAGCACTGTGAAAGTTCCCACTTCACAGAAGAGGAGAACCAGGTGCAAGGAAGTCTCACAACCCACCCAAGTATCTAGACTAGGAGGTGGTGAGGCTGGGAGAGCCGGGGTCGGGTAGTGGTGACAGGACTGAGGGAGGTCAGTGCCAAATGCTGCCATCTGACACTGGCTGAGGAGAGGCTGGGCCTGCTCAGACATACAGGGGCCGCCTCCAGCATGTAAGCAAGTGGAGGGTGGGCACAGCAAGTGGGCCTGTGTGCAGGCCCTGGCTCTGTGACTGACCAACTGAGAGAACTTAGGCCTCTTGACCACCTGGGCCTCAACTGTCTTGTCTACATACTACAGGACTCTGAGGGCCTTCCTGATACCCGTCACAGATTCCAGACTGAGTTGTCTGCAGGCGCCCGAGCAGGAGGGGAGGGTGAGGGTGGGGGACATGCTTACCCGCTCCACAAGGCCGCGCCTATGCTTCAGCTTGTACACCTTCAGGGTGGGCAGGAAGCTCTCGGCGTAGTTCCTATCCTCCAGGCCATGGAGCAGGATGCCGTGGAAGGCCAGCCGGCATGTGTTGGTGTGGATGTCTGCATCCAACCTGGAGCCGATCACCAGGCACAGCTGAGGGCAGGTGACAGGCCTCTCAAACTCCACAAGGGCCCACTGCTGCCGAGGACAGTGTCCCTCTGTAGCCTGGCCTGCCTTGTCAGCCTCATCACTGTCTGTCCCTGCTGGCACCAAGTCCTTGCACAGGTACTGCTCCTGGAAGAGGTACTCTCGAGAGAAGTCGAAGGAGTCCAAGACAGGCTCGTGGTCAAAGCTATCAGGGTCAGGGCTGAAGAACATCAATCGGCCCATGACTGTCTCATGGCCCACTGTGATGTGGAACTTGGCTTTGGTCTGCAGGGGCCCCCGGAAATACGGGATCTTTTCCACGGAGATGAGGGCTGCATGGACAGTGTGCAGGGACTCAGGGGCACACACCAGCCCACGCTCCAGCAGCTTGGGGTCAAACTGGGTGACACAGATGCCCAGCCGGTCTCCCTGCATGGCTGAGGAGATGGGTATGTGGAACATCTGCATGGACTTCACCTTCTTCACCACCTGACCAAGAGCAAGAAAGAGAGCACATGAAACAGACATGCCTTGAGGCTGGGTGGGGGCCAGGCGCCAGTCCCTGTGTTCACCAGCACCCAGCTGGCACCAGGCCCAGGTGCTGATACACAGGGTAGACCAGCCGAGGGCAGGCCCGGGGCCCAGTTAGCTTCTTTTTGAACAGAGCTGGTACCATCCTGAAAACACGAGGTCTGGGGATACTAGGCAAGGCAGGGCCAGGCCTCATGCTGCAAGGCTCACCCCTATTCCAGGACAAGGGCAGGAGTCACAGCAGCCAAATCTTGGACTACCTCAGTTCCCTCTGTCCTTCTAGTCCTCGCACCACCCCAGGCTCCAGTCCCTCTAGGCTTCTCCCTTCTCATTAACCATTTTGGAACCTTCTAGTTCTCTGTATGGGCTTGCCCCGCCCCTGCATGGTCTCCCCTGTTCTGCAGCCTGTGAAGCTACACCTGTCTGCCTTTTTAAGCCTGGGTCAAACACCACTGCTCTGGACCCCTGCCACCTTGGTGGCACCCAGCCCCTCTGAGTCATACAGGCCTACGGCACCGTCACTGTCTATTCCACATCTGCCTGCTGGCCTGGGGGCTTCTCCAGGGCAGGGTCTCTCTTCACTAATTAGACACATATTCCCTGAGTGCCTACTGTGTGCCAGATGTCATACTAGGGGAAGGACAGAGTGAGCTGTTTTCAAAGAGATTAATACCTGGAAATAATAACAACAAAATAACATATATAGGAAAAATTATTAATATCAATTCAATTTATCTCAATATAAATAAAATTAATATATAAAATTATACATGTGTAAATATATAGTTTAATGTAATTATATTATTTATGTCATATATAGAATATGCTGTAAAGAAAACAGCACAGGATAATGTGACAGAGAAGGCCTGGGGTGGCGCGAGGGTCTGGCTTTTCAGGTGGGTGGTCAGGGAGACCTCTCTGCAGAGGCAATGTCTACGCTAACGCCTGAGTGTAAGAAGCCAGTTGTGTGAAGATTCAGAGAAAGATCGTTGTAAATGGGGAAACAGTAAATGCAAGGCTCTGATATGGAAGAGTCTGGGTGAATCTGAGAAAGAAACAGAGGCAGGAGGGTGCAGGAAGAGAGGGAGGGAGGTCGAGGCTGGCCCTGCAGCATTGCGCAAAGCCTGGAAGTCATGGAGAAGTTTGGGCAAAGGAGTAACCTGATCTTATCTGTTTCTAAAAGATCACACTGACTACTATACTGGCAGGTTTCTGCATCCACAGTTTGTAAATCAGAAATATAGAGGAATCTCTAATAAATGTTCATGAAAAATAAACATTCCTATCATAATCCACTGTCTCTTAAATGAGATGAAATTGTGTTCATGGATTTCTGTTTAACGAAGCAGAGAAATGTGTAACATATTTCAGCCATCAAAAATCGTTAAACTAAAGACAATGCTGATGTTTAGGTAGCCAGCGTCCCCATCCACCAAGCCTGGGTGTGCGCAGCTCTCATTCCTCCCCAGATGGCGGGAGAGTGCTGTGCTGATGGCCCCCGAGCCCAGGACCTTCGAGGACAGCCAAAATACTCAAGTGTTTGTTTAAAGACCATTAACTACCTAACCAAGAGGTCAGAGGGCAGAGAAAGTGAGAAGCACAGTGTCAAAAGCCACAGCCAAGATCAATCAAAAAGAAATGTAAACATCTGTGAAATAGTCTGTAAAGGCAATGGGAAATAAGATGTTCAGGAATGCAACTCAGAGTGACTGGAGAATATTACCTTACACTGAGCGTGNGGAGGTCGAGGCTGGCCCTGCAGCATTGCGCAAAGCCTGGAAGTCATGGAGAAGTTTGGGCAAAGGAGTAACCTGATCTTATCTGTTTCTAAAAGATCACACTGACTACTATACTGGCAGGTTTCTGCATCCACAGTTTGTAAATCAGAAATATAGAGGAATCTCTAATAAATGTTCATGAAAAATAAACATTCCTATCATAATCCACTGTCTCTTAAATGAGATGAAATTGTGTTCATGGATTTCTGTTTAACGAAGCAGAGAAATGTGTAACATATTTCAGCCATCAAAAATCGTTAAACTAAAGACAATGCTGATGTTTAGGTAGCCAGCGTCCCCATCCACCAAGCCTGGGTGTGCGCAGCTCTCATTCCTCCCCAGATGGCGGGAGAGTGCTGTGCTGATGGCCCCCGAGCCCAGGACCTTCGAGGACAGCCAAAATACTCAAGTGTTTGTTTAAAGACCATTAACTACCTAACCAAGAGGTCAGAGGGCAGAGAAAGTGAGAAGCACAGTGTCAAAAGCCACAGCCAAGATCAATCAAAAAGAAATGTAAACATCTGTGAAATAGTCTGTAAAGGCAATGGGAAATAAGATGTTCAGGAATGCAACTCAGAGTGACTGGAGAATATTACCTTACACTGAGCGTGGTCTGCCCAGTGAGGAGGGGGGTCGTGACGTACCCACCCACAGCCATCTCCCTCCTCCTGTGCAGCTTTCCAAAGCGCTTATCTGATGATGCAATGTTTGTCACCAACTTCTACACGGCTCCTGTCCTCCACCTCGTGACTTTCAAACCTTTTGGTTGTAGGTGGCGTGAGCAGAAAGATCCTCTGGTCAACTGAAATCCTATGAAGACTCCCTTGATGGGTGGGCCTCCCGGTGCCCCCTGCTGCCCCATGAGTTGTGTGACTGAAGAACTGGTTCATGGGTCCAGTCCCGTTCTGCAGCTTGGCCTTCAGAGAGCCTCTCACCACACAGCCCCACTCCAGAGCCTCTTGTGTCCCACATCCTCAGCAGCCCATGAGCCGCGACCACGGAGGCTGAATGACTCTTTGCACACACTGTGGTTCTGAACATCTCCACGCTTTGCGTGTGAGGTTCCTCCTCCCTGGGATTTCCTCCACCCAGCAAGTTCCCGTTCATGCCTAATCCCGGCTTCCACGGTGGGAGGGCTTCCCTGATCACTCCAGACAGAGCTGGCCACTCAGAACCTGTATTATTGTCATCCTGCTTTACAGGTCAGTACCTGCCTCTGTGTACTGATGGATTTAAACTACAATATAACAAACACCCACAAGTCTATCACCCACCCCAAGAACTAAAATATTACCTATAACTCATACCTACCTCTGTCCTCTCCCCCACAGCTTTCCTGCCTGTTGCAGCGGGGGAAGCTGCTGTCTTTAATGTGACTTGCAGCATTCCCTTTCCTTTTATACACCCGTGTGTGTGGGTGTGTAGAGGTCTACTACACAGGTAGCACATTTGCCTAACAATAGTTTGCTTTGTCGTGCAAGTTTCTGAAACCGTGAAAGGAGCATCACACCAATTACAACACTGGAAGTCCACGCGTGGCTGTGCCCTGTGGCTTGCTGGCTGCCAATGCTGCCAGTCACACCGTGTGCTTGTAGCACATCCCAGTGTGTGCTTGGGGCATTTCCGTTTTTTTGCTGGAAAATGTTGTGATAAATTCCTTCTCCCACGAGAATCCTGCCTGGTACACATGCCTCCTACACATGTGCTAGGAGTTCTTGAGGAGAGGGGACCTGGAGTAGAACTGGTAAGTCGTAGAATAAATAGTATTCAACCTGGCTAGACACACAAACTTCCACCGACAGGGCATAAGATGCCCAGTTGATACATGTCTTCTCCAACATTTGGCATTGTCAGATTTTTCTATTTTTGCCTATTAAATTTGTATATCTCCTCTTGTAAATTCTGAGATAGAGACCATGTTCTACCTACTGCAGCACCCTCAGTGCCCAGCCCGGGGGGCAGCCAACACACCTTGCTTAGGACAGGCCCAGTGAAAACATCCAGCCCATTGGAAGAGAATGAGTGCATCAGATCCTGGAAGAGGAACACTCTTCATGGCAAAAACACACCTGGTAACCCACCAAGCTCAGATTCCAGACCTGCCGGGGCTTGAGCAAGATCCTGTGTTTGTAAGTCCTCCTGTGAGAGAGGGCAGCCAGGGGACTCACGCCCTCCTGGGGGACCCCAGCCCCGCCCCACTCACTGAGCCCAGTGCCAAGCAGGCTTTACTCAAAGCATGTTCGCTTTTCAACAGGGCTTGTGTTCTTAGGCCTGAAGTGACAAAGAATGCCTTACGAGGGCACTGTGAAGAGCAGAAAGAAATAACTGTGCAAATCAAGATTTTAAGGGACAGACCGGAAATTGTGAGGCAGATAAAGATGGGGACAGGGTGGCGTGGCACTGGCAGACAGCACCGCTTCACAGTCATCAGCAGCCCACACTCTGCTGAGTGACCCTTTAAGGAAAGAAGATTCCTTTTAGAACACCAAAAATATAGAAAGCAGATAATTTTGTCAACCTAAGAATGGGAAAAACAGGCTTTCCTTTCCATCATTTTTCTAGCCTCTTGGAGAGACTCTCTCCATGTACTCAGCAAATCACTCCCCAAGCACGTGCTGCTGTCCATGCTGGGGGCCGAGACCAACACACGCACCTTCACCTTCTCAGCATGCGTCTGCTAAGCTCCGCTCAGGCACCAGGCCCTGGAGTGATGGGGGAGGGGAGCAAAGCAGACAGCTTTGGTCCTGTGGAGCCTTCTGCACAGTGGAGGACAGGTACTAGTTAAATGACCAGCTAGTACATGGAAAGTTATAGAACTGTTGGGAGGTGTTGTGAGCAAGAGCACAAGGCACTGCGGCAGTGCACGGCTGGAAACCTGACTCACCCTGGGTGGTCTGGGAGGGCTTCCTTGAGGAGGCGGCCCTGGAGCTGAGACTGGATGGCTGGGAAGGAAGCACCTGCAGGGTCCCAGGCAGAGGGAAGAACAGAGCATGCCTGAGGCCCCAAGTGGGGAGGAACCTGGCCTATCTGAGGATCTGCAGAAGGCAGGGCTGACCTCGAGCTGGAGACACAGGCTAGCCACCTGCACCAGGGGAAGAGCCACAGGTAGCTACTGTGGTGGTGGGGCAGGGGCTGAGCAAAGGAACAACACCTTCTAGTTTGCATTTTTATTTTTTATTTTTTTTGTCTTTTTTCGTGACCGGTAAAGGGATCGCAACCCTGGGCTTGGTGTCGCCCGCATCGCGCTCAGCCAGTGAGTGCACCGGCCAGTCCTATATAGGATCCGAACCCGGAGTGTCGCTGCGCTCCCAGCGCTGCACTCTCCCGAGTGCGCCATGGGGCCGGCCCCTAGTTTGCATTTTTAAAA